AGAACTGGTATACTGTTCCCTAACATAGAGCGCAACCCCCCCCCCCTTTTTTCCCCCTTCCTATCTCTTCTAAACAGCCTATAGCCCTCTATGTCTAATGCCCAGTCAAATGTTTCAAAATTGTACCCATTGAGAAGGTCTTGCTTTTTGGGTACTAAGCACTGAATCCAATTAGACTGACAAACGTAGCTAAAGATTTTATTTTCAGCATTCCAAAGTAATAATTACTATTGAGACATAATTAACCAGCCCTCCTAGGTGAAATCTAGCAGCATGTTCTATTTTCAGCTCAGCATCCTGCCTGAACAAGGCTCAGAAACAAGGAAACGTAAGAAGAGAAGAAGGACAGTCGCAGCAACCGTGAACACAAGGAACAAACTTCTAACTAGCAGGAAAGGACAAAGAATAAGTCACTGTTCATTTTCATTGCATACCTTTAAATGCAGCTCAGAGTGATTTGCTTTGGTTGGGACTCAACTTCTTTTCTTCCAACTTTGGTGTCATTGTCTAGTTACAAATAACACACCTAGGACCACATCTTATTCCACATATTAGATGCCTAACTGGACTTTAAGATATCCACGTCACCCTACACCACCCTGGGTCCCTGAAAAAACTGCTGATATAAACAGGAGGGTGGGTTTTTGCGCTCAGACACCCAACAGGCACCTCCTGCAATTCAGTAAGGCTTTGTGTCTTGATTCCTTTGGGACTGAATTTAAAAATTGCCTATGGTTATACCAGAGTTCAGAGGTCTGTCTGTCAAGACAGGGCTTTTGCAGCAGAAGGAACTAAAGCACCAGCAGAATCCAGTTTTACCATATTCAAGATTTCCAGCTATTATCTATGTAATGTTTGAGTCAACTATACAGTACAATTGGGGGCAGGGGTGGAAATCAAAGGTCCCTTTAAAGTGAAAGTGAGATAAACCCCCACATGTTAATTTTTCCTCTTCTCCCTGATTGGCCTTGCGTAAGAATTTACATTCACTGCAAGACAGCTTTCTGTGCAGTTTTTACTGCAGAAGATTTATTTTTAAATCAGGTCACATGAAAGGGCTGGAAGGAGAAACCATTCATCCATAGCAGAAAGGGTCCACTTTAATCATACATGATGAAAACAACATTTGCTTGCAATTTAATCCAACGGTCACAGGCTTGCTAGATACAATTAACAATCTTGCCTGTGGATTCTTTTTCATTTGTCTGTTTATGAAACATCTAGAAAACAAATCTGAGCTAGTAAGCATGCACTGCTGAAGACTGTATTCTGTCCCCCCCCTTTCAGAAAGTGGGAAGGGGTTTTAATGGGATGTGACCTAGTGAACAGCTAGAGCTCCCAATATTTATAATGCAAACGGCAAGAAATGCCACTGAATTTTAATGCAAATCAATAAATTTGATGTGAAATAATCAGAAAGGGAAATTAGTCACCACTGCTTATGTTCTACAGCCTGCCTCAGAGGGCCCTTACATTGTTAGAGCTTCTTGGGCATAAAGAGGTTTTATTTTTTTTCTATTAGTATTTTAACACTAAACCTTCAAGAGTACCTGCAGTAATGTGCTCAAAGCCCAATGAATGCACAGTTACTGTTGATGATAACTGGGCATCTTTTTCTCGTGTGCCTATTCAGTAGAGAGGCCCTGCCTGCAAAGAAATTGTACCCATTTGTTCATCACTGGTGGTGTTCACAGTGAGGTAGTTTAATCAGATTATGTTGCACCAATGCAAAATGTACTCCACACAATTGCATTAGGGGTTTGCAACAGGCCATCTATCTCTGATGTAGATGATGCTCAATTGAGTTTTGATGTGATGCTTATAAAAACATTTACACACACACACACACGCACACACACACAGTGTAGTGCACGTGGGATACACGTTCCAATTTTGCAAATCTATCACTTCATCTTGCACAGACTCCTTCCATACCTATAGAGGTGAAAAACTCTGCTTGTGTGGGCCATGTGCAGCTAATGCAGGTCAACAGCAGCAACAGCATCCAGGGCTTCATCATTAAAAAGGCTCCACTCCGTTGGCTCTGGGAAGGGGGGGGGAAAGAATGAAAAAATCAGATGCACTGTTTGCAAATAAAACTTGTTAGCATCATAATAAAGAATAATTAAAATTCCATTTCTATTAGAAATAAGGGTTTATATTTGAACAGAGAAGAAAAGAATTGCTTGGTTGATTTTTAAAGACTGCTCTCAAAACTACATGCAATCTGGCATCAGGCACGAAAAATGCTACAGGAATATATTACACTGGCCTGCAGAAGGCCTGGCTCACACTATAGTGCCAGAGGCTTGGCATGGAAGCAAAGTCCATTTCTTCAAAATCATAGAGAAAATGGTAGTTAGGCACAAGAGGTATCTTTCCAAGAAAGGGAACACCACCCTGGAAAAAACTGCAGCTGTCACCCATATCCCATTATACTACAATGCACAGAGGAAGAACATTTTAATTCAAGTACATTTTTAAAAGTCTCTTGAATTTAATGGGTTTGGGACCAAATGTAGCTTTGGTGTAAAAGGAGCAAACAATTCTGATGGTGCAGTTTAAATGGCCTTGTCCAAAAACTAGGGTCCTGCTCCTATTAAAGTCTAGGGCAAGACTGCCATGGCTTCACTGGAATAGGATCAAGCCCTGGAAGCTCAAGCCTTAGGATCAAGCTCTAGCCTTAGCTTCTCAACACCTGTCTTTGACCTCTACAAACTGTGAATGCAACCTACCTCCACCTCAGACCCACCTAAAGGACAAGCTAGTAAAAGGGTAAGAAAATTAGGCAATTTCTAACTACCCCCGTTCAAAAACTAGCACAGCTCCCCCAAGTCGTGAGGAATCTATCAAAGAGCATGTAACACCCGCAGACAAGAAATAATGGAGGAAGGTAGCAGAGAACAGTTTGGTCCTTTTTAATGCATGGAGAACAGCTTGTTAAACCCAATCAAACATTAACAGGCCAGGAGTGAGATTTAGTGGCAGCCATATCTGGATTTTGTTGCAGCATGGTGCATAGAGTCACGTACCCAGCACTCAGTCCATCCTTCCAACAGGTCAGAAATTAGGCATTACAAAAAAAGCCCATCGCTTCCACTGCTTCCCATTGAATCATTTAATAAACACTTTCTCCCAGACACTCCAGTTCAACGTGGATGCGGCAGAGCTATAATTCTGGCCTGCTGCCCTGAATCCACCTTTGTTTCTCATTCTTCCTAGATCATGATAATTAGTTACAGCAGCATCCAAGGGAAGTACATGTTGCTTGAATTAAAAACCTATCGAAACTACATAGTTACAAGGTCACTTTCTATCATGCTTAAATTTGACGTTAATGGAAGGGAAACGTCCACTACAAGGCTCCACCTGCTGTGGCAATTTAACCTGTTTCTCTAGAGACGTTAGAGAGTGAAAGACAACACTAAGGGAGAATTTCAGAAAAGTGACCATGTAAGAATGCCTGTCAGCAGATATGCCTTTTTGGCATATTCACAGTTATTTCGGTATTAGTTTCTGTATTAGTTCTGTGCTAACAGGAGTAGAAACAAAAGCCGCACACAGGCAGCTGAATTCTGTTTGAGCTTTGGCCTCATCATAATTACTGCTGACAGAGGATCTGGAAAGACCCGAGTTCAACTTGCTGTACACAACCACCTAGGAAGCATCTACTGTTAAAAATCATCTCCCACTGCCTGTAAATTCAGTAGTTTTACTCTGAAGTCACCAACATACAAAACACTAAAGCCCACAATGATGGATCTCTTCACAGTTCTTTCCATATAGCTTTTCAGCAAGTATGGCCCAAAGCTTAGTCTTACACATACTTAAAACATTCCCCTCCCTCCTCCCCACCTCAAACGTTTGTGAAACTGGATTACCTATCTGCAAGCAAATAAAAAATCCTCAAAATAACCAAGGTCATATTTCTTAAGTGCTTTGCTTGATGTTCTTTTGGAAAGGACATCCAGGGAGGTTAAAATAAAGCCATTTGCTAAGGACAACTGGCAGCAGAGACTGAAAAAAAAAAGCTGCACATGAAAACGGTTTGATTTGTTACAGAGTCATGCTCCCAGCCTTGTTCTGTCCATAGGACTTCCAGATCCCAGATGTAACGTCACCTCTGGAAGCAGGGACGCATGGCAAGACTTGCAGCTCCCAAGAGCAAGGACACAAATGAAACAGAAGGGGCCTGATGCACACAGCAGGCAAGCAGCTAGGCTAGTGGTAGTGGACAAATGGGTTAAAAGCAGTTGATATGCATGGAAGAGCTCTTTCTAGAAGCAGTAATTCTTCTGGGAGACCGGGGGGGGGGGGGGGGGGGGGGGGGGGGGGCAGAAATGCCTTTTAGCAAACACAGGACAAGTCCAAACCATGTGGAATCCAGAGGTCACCCTGCAGGTCACCCCGGGACTGGCTGTTCTCCGACCATTGCTCACCACGAACGCCCACCACAGCCGGCACACTCATTGCGGAGGCTGCACTGCAACACTGATACAGAAGCCACTGTAGGAAAAGGGGGGGGCGCAGATGCAGATGAACCATTCAGCTTAATTTACAAACATTTGCTTATTTCTGCCATATCTGATCAAAAGCTAGTTCTGACTCCGGACCAAGTTCTACTTCGATGAGTCCCTTCAAAATACCCCGCACACTTTGGATGGTACCCTCGTCAGGGGAGGGGGAAAGAGTCGAAGCTGAGGACAAACGGCCAACACGCTGCACTCAACCTGGGAAAGGGGCAGGCAGGAGGCAGACATTTCCATGACAAATGGTTGAACTGGCACTATGCTGATTGATCAATCTTACTTCACTGTTTCGACGCATTTCCCCTATCTCCGCATGCCACTATCCAGCTGTTGTCTCCTGTCTTCTGAGAAAAAGACTGGCTCTCCCCCTTCCCTCAGCCATGATCTCCCTCCCCTTCTCCTAATACTGTTTCTGCAGAGCTAGCAGGTTGGGGCTCTGATCCTTGAACTAGGGCTTCTAGGGACTGCCGCAATACAAATAATAAAGCCACCTCAGTAAAGAATAAGGCTGCCTTACAGAACCAGGGCCATGCCAAATGTTTTCCATCTATTATGACATTAGCAAACCATGTTTTGCTTTTAAAACCGCTTCTTTCTGCTCTCGACAGAAAGGATCCAACACGCGAAGACATACAGCGCGCATATGTGAGCAAGCGAGAACCCTGTCTCCACCGCATCATGCTGAACTTGCTCTTTCCGCGGCCGTATGTTTGAACCGCTCTATTTCAGCGCTGGAGTAAAATAGGTTTCTAATACATGGGTAACCTGATCACCAAGCAAAGCTGAATGAACAGTGCCACGGAAAGGTCTGCCAATGCTCAAACCGCAGCAAGCGATATAGCAGAGAGCAGGGTAAAGTCAAGAATATTCGGAGGGTGCACACATTCAGTCGTATTAAACCAAGACTGTCCATCTGCATAGTCTGTTCTTGTTTCCTACAGCGTTTTTTTGGAAACATTAGGCAAAACTTATCCAAGTGACTTCTGAAGGAATTTTCCAGTTTAAACAGCATAACTCTCTGTTCTAACCCCCCGCCCCCCATATTCTCGCATAGCTCAGGACGTCTGCCAAGAAGAACATTTGCCACATCTAGCAGCTTGACTTTGTAACAGATCTTTAGCAGCTCTGCCATCAAGCTGGGATTTACTCGAGTCAATAAATAGAAAAGCTCGGTAAACAGAGAGAGCAGCCGCCAGCTTGAACAAGAAAGACACCTGGCTGTAGAGATGTCAAGAGTGTTCACACGCATTCCTTGCACAGCTGCTCCCCAGAAGACACTGGCGCACCACCGCTGCACCACAGCAGGCTCCAGACAGCTTCACAAACTCCTTTTTTGGAGCAAAACACATTTACAGCACTGTATTTAAAATAAGCTCTCAAAAACTCTTGAAAACAAGACAAAACATTAACACCTATCCATTCAAGCACAGAGACATACGAAGCACTAGTGCCAAAAAGTGTCTGAAACTCCCATTCCTTAAAGTATTTCCCATATGTATTGTTTTCCACATCCCCTGATGCACAAGCCAGGATTTATGTTTCAGAATGAAGTGTGCCATGTTGAGAAAGGAAATCCTAAATGAGCCTTCGATCTCTACCTTCCTCCATAGTAAAAGGCCCAGGCCTGTTCAAAGGCCAGTGCTGAACTAGAGAAGTAGATTGTAGTGCTGGATGCAATATGGGGCAGCAGTCCTGCCCTAACTTACACTGCAAGTGCTATGGGCCTGCTGGCCAGCCTGGATGGGGAAAGGGGCATTAACAGATTAGTCTACCCCAAGTTTGCTGCCTATGCCTCTGCTTAAATACAGGGAATAGCACTGCACTTGCTTATGCTGTTTTAAGCCAGAATCCCCAAAACATCCTCAGGGATGTGCCAGAGCAGATGCAATCGGGGCAGGCCCCCACTGTCTGGCTATAACCCCCTCTTCCCCCCCCGTGCCCCTAGCTCTATAAAGCCAACTGAAATGATGTCACACACACACAAGAAGCCAAGTGGCTTCTCTGGAATTTCAGCCCTTTAATCAATCACTGTTTCCACTGGAAAGCGTGCTCTGGTCAGACTGCCGGCAGAAGGAAAGCAGCTCTCAGAGTAGATGGGGTGAAAATTCCCCATATTAGGCTCTAGCTCTTCCAATGATGTCTATTCAAATTGCCATTGAAACATGGGGTTGGTCTGTAACTATGGGTCATGTGTGTCTAGGAGGGCTAGGTATTAAATTCTTCCAGTTTCAGGTCCAGGCAGGAATTCAAGCCAATTTCTATTCAAGCCAATGGAAGGATTCCCATTGCTGGACTGGAAAGGGAAGCAAGCATCTGTTAGTTAGTTTATCTGTTCCTTCAGGGTCCTGCTCCCAACTACAGCTCATACACTCGCTCTATCAGAAAAATAAGTCACCATTCATTTCCTGAGACGCTTCCTCCAACGAGGAGGAAGTGCAATTATTCCCCAATTTTCCTTGGGCACAGCAGCTTGAATCTCTTAGGATAAGCTCTATAATAAAACAAATGCAACCAA